GTTGCGAATGTTAATATCGTTCATGAAAATATCTCTGCATGGGACTGAATTGCTGCATAGGAGTTGCACAAAAGGTTTCTTGATTGATGTTCCATGTATGTGATTGTACTTTACATTCTTGATCTCCACAGCTTCAGTCTGTTATGTGAATAAACATGAATTTTGTTACATGAAATGTCAGTTTTATGTTTGAATTGTTACACCGAAATTTCATTATCCTTTTCTAGATAATCTCATCAAACTATGAATCATGACATATCTATATAGTCTCATGTATTAATCATATACAAGAGTAAGATCAAACATAAAAAAAAAAACTAATTACCACAATCTTCATCACTTAAAATATGTATTACTTTAAGAAAATAGTTTGTCAAATGAATTTTTCCTTAAACGTAATATGACAATCAAGCTAACATTTTTTCATAAAATATGTTTTTGATGTTCTTAAAGTATAAATGAATACAAGGAAAATCATTAGAACGAGAAGAAAAATTTACTTACATGGTTTTTGCATTGTGAGTGAGGACAATAAAATTGGTCGATGATGATAGGTCGAGTTGCACCATGTAGCTTTATACGTTCAAATAAAATATTTCGAACATGCCCTCTTCCTCCCTAATAAATAGTACAAATTATTGGAAAATAATATTGTGATTAATTTCAAATTATGGAGACTAATAACAGACTGATCAATTTCTTTGATTTTACCTGCCATGTCTTGATTCTAACCCCATTACTTGTTTCTCTAAAGGTACAATCTTGAACGACGACATTTTCCACCTTTTCTACGGCCCCATATCGACCTAAGCTTCCGATACTTGTTCAAGCAAAATTTAATTACAATCTTTAAACTAATTTTAACAAAATCAAAGTTATATAAAATAAAATAAGTCAAAACGATGGATGAATAAGCACCTTATTCCATGACCTGGACCACATGTAATTCGTGATATATTAATGTTCTTTGAACTGTCACCAATAGATATACAATCGTCACCTAAAAATACCAAATATCACACACGATCTAGTGGTTAGAATTAGAATGGACAGAAAAACTAAATCCTAATAATGTGAACCAAACAGAACCAAATCCAAATAATCCGAACCAACATTTTTACGGGGCTATCCCTCTATTGGTTTATTGCGATTAGGAAAAAACTTAATTTACATAAGTATATTTTTGTTATAAGTCTAACTAAATTATGAGAGAGACTTGGATATATAAATGTTATTTAGATATTATTTTGGACATGTATTAATAAGAAAATGGGTAGTTAGAAAGATAGATAGTGAGTCACCTGTTCGGATATTACTATTGTATACAAAAACATTCTGAGAACGTTGAATGTGAATGCCATCAGTGTTAGGGCTATCACCATCGGCGGTTATGGTGAGTTGCTTTGCGAAAACCCATTTCGAATCTTCCAACGATATTTGAAAATTTGGACTGTCTTTAACCATAATGTTGCTAATATGCACATCAGTCGAATGTGCTATAACCAGACCCTAAGAAAAAAAAATCAATTCAAATAGTTTGCAACGACTTATAAATTTAAGGGATTTAATTGATCATTGTTAAGTGATTTGTTACATACCCTTGGTCTTCTTAGGCATGCCTATAAAGTAAAAAAAAAAAAAGTTATGTGGGGTTTAGATAAACATAAAATAAGGTAAATGGGGGATATTAAGAATTTAATATAGAAAGTTATAAAATTTGAAAATTGGGCTTACTTGTCTATATTCTTGGCAATTTAACGACCACCATTTAGGTCCTTTGCCATCAAGAGTACCATGACCATCAATATAGAGTCCATTTATATGTGCAAACTCGATCCACTTATGACATTGATCATTGTTGCAATTCCATTGATATGGAGCTTCAGGAGCAGTTAACTTTCCATTGATCTACAAATAAAAAAAGTTGTCGCGAAAATTATAATATCATGTACAGATAAGTTCACCTATAACTAATGCGTCGATCAAATGTATGAGTAGTGTATACACTAACATGTAGGTATATATATATGAATACTGCATACCGAGAAAACAATTTTGTCGGATTTACAAGGGCCGTGAAATTCAATTGGTTGAAGAAAAAATGTTCTCCCTTGAGGAATTTGTCTGGTTGATTTGGATCCAATGTAATTGCATGTGTCTTCCCATGCATCCTTGAATGCCTGAAACCAATTATTAAGAAGAAAAATATGAATTTAAAAAAAAAAAAAATAGATATATCAATTGGGCCACATCTCGAATCAGATTGGGAAAAAAGGATGAAATTTTTATTACTAAAAAATTAAGGATTTGATTTAGCATCTTTTTGTTGTAGAAATGATTCAATCTTTTTGACAGAGTATTCAAAAACACCGGAATACTTTCTTTTTTTTTTTCAAAAACCAATGCAAAAAACATAAAGAACAAAATATGGATTATTTGCTCATTCCATCGTAATTTTTTGTAAATCAGACTTTGTGACTTTTCAATATCTATGAATTAATTTACCCAACAAAAAAAAAAAAACAGACCTTTGTATCGTCAGAGAATCCATCTCCGATTGCTCCATAATTAAGAACATTGAAATTATTATCATTATGATGACGAGAATAGTGAGACTGAACTAACTGAGAACTGTGGAAGAGAGCTAGAAGAAGAAACGTTAAGAGCACTAAGAAATTGGCCATTTTGTTCTAAGTTTAATAAACTGAACAAAAATTGCAAGTAGAGTCTACTTAAACATAAATCTCAATTACGGCGTCTTATACTCAACCTAAATCTACGATCTTTTTTGTTTAGTTTAAAGATCTTCTCTCATTAAATTGTTTAGATTCTTCGAGATTTTCTATCAAATAGTATCACGAAAATGTTTTCAGTTGTTTATTCGGGTATATCAAAGATTTGGATCAACAAATTCTAATTTTATATGATCTCAAAAAAAAATTCCAAACTGTAACCATATTTCAATTCTTTCAAATGTTCCAATAATTTAACAAAATAGAGTCGAAGAATAAAATTGAGCATCTTTAAAGATGTTGACGATAGAAATTCTTTATTTTAGGGTTTACAACTTTTAGATGCCCTAACTCTTCTCTTTCTTCATTTCACTTTCCTTTCTTGCTCCTCAATTTTCATTCCATGTCAAAGTTCCCATGATTAAGTTCTTGCTTGGTAATTCAGTAGCTGATGGAGATCTATATGTAATTCTCTCTTCACCAAGATCAACATTTTTGATACATACAAATCCAGCAACAATTCTGCAAAAATGCCAATACACATTAGCTGCAAAATTTAAAGTATTTCTCTATCCATAGCTTAAGTTTTATCACTAAAAAATTGGAGATGATTACCTTGAGATGATCTGGTGAGGTTGTTTGGCGTATGAGATTGCACGAACTTTATTCACAAGATCTTTGTCGATTTTCACTGGTGTGATCTTCAAAGGGTTATTATTATTTCCTCTTTGTAGAGCAGACCTCTCTTGCAAGTTACCAATCTGATATACTTGAACATCACTGAACTTGGCGGTTTTCATGTAGACCGTGAGATCCTTGGTGGCTCCATAATAGTACTTCTGTGTATAATAAGAAAATCGAAAGCTCTCTGCTTTAATCAAACATCGAAAGAAACCAGAGTAGTGAAATTATCATCAAAGGGGGGGAAATATACATGAATGTTGTTGTTTCTTAAGGTTCTGCGAAAATCAGAGCCCCTAGAAAAAACTCCAGCTGACTTCTCAAGATTCAAGATTTGTACATTTTTCTTGAATCTTAAATCTTTGTTCAGATCATTAACCAGTTTTGGTTCCTACAAATGACAAAGATCAGTGAAGGGCAATGTAGGTTTCTTGATTTAGTATAAAGCGAGAGAATAGAGATTTGGTACATTACCTGACCAAGGACAATAACTAAAGATGCATTAAACTTCCTTATTGCATGGACAAGGAGCTGCAAAATAAAAACTAGTCAGCAAATCAGAAAAGTCTTAGGTTAATAGCCAAAGAAACCGTGCTCTTTTCACAAAAGAAGCAAAAGTTACCGTATAACCGATACCATCGATCCATCCCATTGTGTCAATCACCATACCAGAAGCTCGAGATTTGGCGTTTTCAGTAAACTCTTCTTCTAATTCTTGAGCAAGCTTTTCAACAAGGGCTTTGTACAGCCTAAGGTTGGTACTGAGAGTACAAGAAAGGAAAGTTAGTTTCAAGTTATAAGATTGATAATTTGAAGTCAATATTACCGTGGTGTAGTGTGACCAAAGTAGTGCACAAGAGCCTTATCAAGAGGAGACCCTTCAACAGGATCCACAGGCATTTTGATAGAAGTGGCAGCAATGGTTCCTGGTATGGTTCTCGAGCTTTGACCGACATTAAGGTCAACAATTGTCGGTTCCCAACCATCTTTAGCCGCCCAACTAAGAAGCATCTTAGCCAATGCGCTCTTCCCAGAGTCAATAGCTCCTACGATGATGACCCTAGGTCCCTACATTGAACAAAACCATTAAAAAAACAAAGAGTAACAAATTGCTACAAGGATATGCATGATCTTTATTAAGAAGGGAAGTACCTGTGAAGATGAAGCAACACTATATCGTCTTTCTGCGTGTAGAGAGTAGTTCACTCTTCGATAGTCGACCATAGGTGTCTAGTACCGCGACTTTGTTAGTAAACAATATTTTTGAATTTCATATGTTATATGAACTAAGTTGGAGATGAAACCAGAACCTTACCTTATTTGATGTATCAGTTTTTGTGACGCCAGCAATTTCTATAGTTGCACCGTACCAAGTGAAAACCTGAATGTGAGCTAATTTTATAAAGGATTGATATATGAAGCATCAAAGCTTATTAAGCCTCAAGATTATAACCAACTAATATATTATTTAATTAGGAGAACGATTTCTTCATTCACTACTTAAAGCTCAATTTTTCATCTAACACACAAGACCATAGGATGATTTTGAGCTTAAATATAAAGCATCAAGATTATAATTTATTATGTAACTAACTCAAAGATTATGAAAATAATATCTTTATTCACTATCTAAAGCTCAAACCTTCAACTAGCCAACCCCCAAGGCCAGGGGAGAATGATGAATTTGAGAAAAACTCAAGGAACCATTTCGAGAAACATAACCATAAATCGAATAGAAATTGAAATTTGTTGTTACAAAAAGAGTTGAATATTTGAAAAACATACGGCTAACTGTAGTAGAGGAGGAAGCGTGAGCCAGACTTTTTGTGGAAGCTCGGAACCAAAAATCTCAACTTTACCATCGATCACACGGAGTTTGAGAGGCGAAACCCGATCCACTTGGATCCTGATTTCACTTTGTTGCTCTAAGGTCACTCGTCTTATTTGATGACCAAATTCAGTAGCAGCATCACTGTTCATCAATGGCTTCACCACACCGTACGACATGTTTGTCTCTGAAGGGTCACACACACACACTTGATGAAAGACAAGAACTTTGTATATCTGAGTTTGAGATTTTTTTCTCAACTATATCAATTTTGTGGAGAGGAAGACGAAAAGTTAGTAACCTTTTTCCATTTTCCGATGTGTATGAGAAATACGAAGTGTCGCATTAAAATAAAGTTTATTACTAGCAATGGCATTTAATTCAAGAAAGAAAGAAGTTTTTCTTCATACTACTCCATTTATGCGTATCGCAATATTTCTTTCGAGACAGTAATAAACGATACTATAAATTACTCCATTTATGTTGTGTTCATCAATATAGGTTTACTTTCATACTTATAAACAACCAAAAGGTCCAACTACAAGGATTTTTAGCTAAATTCCATCAAATCCTTATTGATCAGCTTCAAAAACACTAGCTAACATGACTTTTTTTTTTTGGTCGAAAGCTAACATGACTTTAAGCATATGTTTTAGGAAAAATTTAAACATTTTGTATATCAAGGCCACATGAAAAAAGAATTGTAAGACGGCATCGTAATCCCAAAATCTCGGCCGAGCCATGTATGGCAATACCTCCATACGCGAAACAACACCACTTGTCAGTTGTCACTGATATTGTATCACCACCAATTGATAACTAACAACAGTTACAACATTTTGCAAAGCTGGTAAATCTCCAAACTCCACAATTGATACTCCTTCCCAAAACTCATCATCAGTACAGCTTCAATA